TGGTTTTGTTATACTAAACTTGAGATAATTAGTTTAGTTTTTGTTTTACGGCATATCAACCTGAATGCGTTATTTAATGCCGACAATATTTTTATTGCTGTTAATACATTTCTCAAAAAAATGTATTGCTGGTAATATTTTTCTTTTTTAAAAATGTACTGCTGGTAATAATTTTTCCAACAAAGTATTGCTGGTGTTAAAACCGATTTTTATACTTTCATAGTGAGGGTAACTATTTAACCATAGCTGGGACCCTGACAGGGTCAGGGTGGACTTTGGAACACCAGCAATTAAGCGGTGGTTCCGTGCTTCTCAAAACCTCCTGATCAAAGGCCTTGCTGTTGGATGTAGTTTAGTCTTATCCAGAACGCCATTATAGTTTAGTCTTAGCCAGGACGGGATAATTAGGATATAATATTGATAATAAAAAGCAATCAAATAAAAAAAAAAAAATAACTAAAAATATAGAATATAAAAACGAATATATTAAAGATAATGAGAACTTGTATAATAGAAATATCGAAAACGTGTATAAGAATAGTGGGGAAAAAGTAAAAAAAATAAAAGTAATGAAAATGTTTATAATAATAATGAAAAGGTTTATATTCAGAATAATGAAATACTATATAATAAAAATATTAAAAACATAAGTGAAAATGAATATAGCAAAATAGGCAGTCCCTTGACTGAAATCCACAAGGGAAGCGAAAAGTGAGTCGACCAAAACACTTGGCGCAAAAGTGTTGACGCAGAGGTGAAGGCAGCCGGCGCGACATGGGCTGAACTTAAGGGGATTTTTCGAGACCGCGTCTGTTGGAAAGCCTGTTGTTGCGGCCCTATGTGCCCCAAGGAATCAAGAGGCATAAAAAAAATTTAAAAAGTATATAATGAAAATTATATAAGAAAAATGTAAATATATTAATGTCCGGAAAGTAATTACGTATTTTACTGTTATGAATTCTGACTCGACCAAACAAGTAAGAATTAGGATGGAATAGTAGGAAAAAATGCCAAGAATTAATCCTCTCTTCTGTCCGATAGCGTGTCATTTTTAGCGTATGTCAGAATTTAACTGGGAAAACTTGTAAACAGTAAATATGGATCCGACATGAGGTTTCACTTGAAAACAGAATACAACGTTCCACTATCTGTAGTAGACAGAAACGCTAAACTTTTTTTTTTTTTTTTTTTTTGCATTGCGTTTTTACAGGTAATGAAAAATGGGTTTTGCGTGTCAAGAGGAAAAAAATCACAAAATGAGAACTCTATGCGAACTACAAAGCCAGTATAACTTCCCCCCCCCCCAAAAAAAAGTTATTTGCTTTGTGTCTGGAATAGGAAAGTTATCATCCATTACGATCTCTTACAATATGGAAGCTTGATTGGGTAAACGAAGCATTAGATCGAAAGTACCCCTTTTTTCTTTTTTTTTTTTTGGTGAGTAGAAAGTCTTATTTTTCAGCAACGCACACACTTTTCCAAAACAAAGCCAAGAACAGTTAAAATCGTTAGGCTAGGGAAGTTCTTCTGCATCGGATTCGACAACTTCTAATTTTCATTTGTTTCCATCGGTACAACATTTCATAAATGCCAGAACATCGAAAAACAAATTAAAAATATGCTTTTGAAAATATTTTGAGTCGGGTGATGAATCTCCAATTTATTTAAAATTGGAATCGAAAATAATCTTTCCCGTTGATCTGCAGTTATTGAAAAAGTTGATTAGGTTTTGGATAATATTTAAATAAATTTAAGTTACATTTGTTCTTGTATCCTTTCCGGCAAAACATAATTTCCAGAAACCAGAAATATCCAGAAATAAGTATTTTGAAAATCGTTTTACGAGAATGCGAGGTAATATCCAAACGTTTAATAGACGTAGCTGGAAAGAACAGGAAGGTGGATAAAAATCCAGTTTCTCTCCTCACTACAACACAATTAGTTAGGACGCTATGTCAAACTCACACACACATTGACTATATGCATTGACCCTTGTGCAAATTAATTAAAACAACCGCTTTAGTTTCTTTTCTTTCACCATAAGGTCAGTTTTAGATCCACTGTAGTGACAGGGTGTAATCGATTTCTATTTTTTCCTTAGATTAGGTCATTTGCAGTGGTGTGCAGTAATATGAATCTGCTTTCGGGGTGTATGATGAAATTTGTCTGGCCTCGAAAAATATTGCGTCATCTGTGATTGCATCAGATTTTTATCACGTTCAGACACCAGTCTCGACTGTCGATTAGTTGTCCTATGGCCATTGTCTGCGGTGGAAGTTACTCCAATGAAGTGTACGAAAATTGTAACGCTGCACACACACACTGGCAAGTCTTACCAGCGAGCAAATCAAATTACTAGACTGACCTGGAAATTCTGATTTAAATCCAATCAAGAATTTGTGGTCGATCTGCAAAGAACGACTTCGTGGAATGAACATACGAAGTATTAACATGTGCACTGGGCCATGTTTCAATCATATGAAAAAAAAAAGTAAATAACGGAATTATTCATCTTGTTCATATTAATTTGGATAAGTGTAATATAGCAATAGACGATTAGATGAAAACCACTTTGTTGCCCTAATTAGTGTTTAAATAACGACCTTCATAAAAGAATATTTATTAAATAAGCAGTCTTATCTCCAAACCGCCAATTGAATCAGTTTTTTTTTTCCTTTATCTTCTGACCTTAAATTTCAAAAACAAAAATACGATTAGCAAGTTTCTACAAGAATATTTTAAACGTTTGTAATTGATCTTTGTAATTTCGACTGATTGGCTGCATTTAAAATGACACATTCAAACGTTATCTTTGTTTTTTATCCCAAAGCTCGAGGCAGTGCGTTCTTCGACCCTTTTAGCTTTGCCTAAATTTTTAAACGATGCTCAAATCGCTATTCCATGAACTTTTCAAATTACTCTCACCATCTTCCTTATTGTTATTACATTCCAGATGACATCCACAAGGCTCAGCATTCCTCCTGGCCTTTCAAAAATCTTTTCCAAACTCAATTTTCTCTCTAACCAAACGCAAAACTTTGGTACTCGGAACTCTGAATGTCTCCAATTAGAAAAATAAAGGTATTAGGAAAAAGATACCCAAATATTGGATGCGATATACACCTGATCAAGGCCGAAAAATACGTCAACCGAAACGTGATTTAATACAGGAAAGATAAGGAAATTAGTCAGGAAACTAGTCGAGTAGTGAACTTTGAAGTCAACACCCAGAGGCGACTGTTTCATGCTAAACGCAATCGTCAGTCTATGGATGGTGACTTCAGTATCTACTTTTATATTTACATAGTATTTTAACCTATAAATATAGCATGCCATAAAACTTATGTGCGTGTGTTATTAATGTATACAGAGCGTATGTAGATATAAAAGTGGACAGTGATGGCAACACCCAGCGGTGAAAGTCTTTAATGTGTGTTGAGTTTTATATATATATATTAGTCCGTTGTATGTTCTGGGTAGAAATGGCTATTACATTATAAGTTATCGGTTTGGGGTCAACGATCAGGTTTTAAAACCGTATTTTCTTTGTGTGGAATTTGTTCAATTCTTGAGTTAAGCAGTGATTTATTTAGTGATGAGCTTTCCACCTCATTCTTTCTTATTTTTCTGTTAATATTACTTTGTAGGCGGGGGATTGCATTCAGACATGAAACTCTATATCACCCCTCGGTCCTATATATATTACATATATAGGTCTTTTTTTTTTTTTTTTTTTTTTATTAATCCAACAAATTATAACTTAAACGTTATTTTTAGTGGTACTCGTATTTGTATAGACGCTCCGTTTACTTATTAAACATTTATTTTTGTTTATCGGCTTGAATATTTGAGAAATCTTATCGGAAAATATGCGTTCCCCTAGGGAAAACCGTCATTAGATCGGACGTGCAACGAAGTGCGTCGATGTCCAAGCAAAGTCTGAATAGTGCCTTTTAAACTCAGATTTTTCCCATCTCTCAAAATAAACATATCGGCAGTTTCGTATTCTAACCTAAACAAAGCAATTTCTTAAAAGATTGTTTTGTTGTTGGTTTTTTTTTTTCATATTTATTAACCTGACAGATTTTCATTACTTATTTTTAGTGGATATTCGTATGAGTAGACGCTCCGCTTATTTATTAAACAGGATATTTATTTTCGTCTACCGGCCTGAATATTCGAGAAATGTTAATCCTGCCGGAGAGCCCATATCTTAATTTCTCGCTATACAACCAAGTCATTTCATTTACAATCATCAAATTTTATATGCTCTTTTATTGAACCCCAAGGAAAGTATGAATGTAAATATTGTTTTGTTATGAATTTATATTTAACAGTAACAAAGATTAAAAACGTAAAATTACAATTTCTATTTTAATATTAATGTCCGGAAAAGAAAAATTTGTTGGCTTTGAAAAGTCAATATCACAAAACATTTACCCGCCAAAATATACTTTCTACATTATATGGAATTTCTTCTTTGGAAAGTTACCAAATTTATTTTGCTTTTCTTTGATGCTATTAATTGCTTCTGACTGGTGTCGCTGAAAATGCAACTTGACACTCGTGACCCAAGATAAGAACAAGTCTTTCGTTGACAACCAAGATTAAAAAATAAACTTTTCTTACATATTTTATTTGCTTCGCTTTGGTACAAGATATGTAAAATAAATTTAATTATGCTTTGGACAGATAAGCAGAGCAGTTCGCCATCAGTACCATGATTTATTCGTTTTTTTGTTTTGTTTTTGTTTTGTTTTTTTACGGCTTATCAAAACTTTGTGGGTTATTTAAAGCTAGGAGATACTTTTAGATTGTAAGTTTTGTTTTTGGGGAAATAATGATTTAGCGCTAAGTCTTACGAATTAAGACATAAGAGGTGGATTCCTATCTTTTGCGAGGGTAAGTGAATATAACGAACCCAACTGGAATTGGAACTTTGTTATTCGATTAACAATTCCGAGCCATTATTTATTACAGCACCCGAAAATCCAAGCTTACTGCAGCTTTTATTCCCAAACGACCGCTCACCTAGGTACTGACCAGGCTCGACGTTGCTTAACTTCGGTGATCGTACGGGAGTCAGTGTTTCAACGTGATGCAGCCGTAAGCCCACCAGTACTAAGGAAGCGTTTTATTCATACCCAGTTTTGAAGGGTTACCAGGCTTAGGATCATCAGCCAATGAAGTATACTCTCCAGACGTGGGTTCATCTCCATTTCCGCATAGGCCGCATTATTACATTTTGTGTGTACGCTATCCCATTCAGCTGCGGAAAGAAATATAAAGGGGAGACAGGGCCACCCCTTAAGGTAAGGCTTCAAGAACACCAGAAAGCTGTAATACGAGGGGAAGTGAAAAAAATCAGGATGGCTAACCACATATGGAGAGAAAAGGGAGATCACCGCCCTCTGTGGGATCAGGTTGAGATCATAGACAACGAACAGCATTGGAAAATTCGTAAACTTAAGGAATCAGCACATATGCTAGGCCACAAATCTCCTGAGCCGACAAAGCATAGAAATGAACACAATATGAGAACCAGTAATAAGGAGTGTCAGAAAAGCAATAATAATGAATACTGCAATATAAACTCCGGTAAATACATGTAATGATAACAGCAAAAATTACAATATGAGCACTCGTAAAAATGTTGCTGAAGACATCAGGTTATAATGCTCAGAATTTCATACACAGATGTCCTCAAGGACACATGGCACAGTGGATAAAAACATTGATTAAATCCAGTGACAGGAACCCAAAGAGTAAGTTTAATACACAATTAAGGCAGTGGAGAACTTTGAGGGGGGAATTAACAGTCTGATAACTGACATCCATCAAACGTGGAACTAGAACAGTCTACCCCAGTGAGCGAAATAAAGGGTTCAATTCGGCATTCCAGCCACCTGAAGAAGGCCGGAGTGTACAACGGCCGAAACATTGTAATATGGCGACAAACATGAGGACAATAGTCCGAATAATAGTGTACTTCTTTCTTATAGTATTCTCCTGTAATCTTTGAATGTTTGCGCATTATTATTTGTATCATTTCACTTCCATCATTGTAATCGTCCTCATCAATTTCATTCACCTATTTGAAGCAAACCGCCTGCAAATGAATAAAAAATGTGTTCAAATAGAAAGGTGCGTAAGGCAAGGATGTGTCTTCTCACTAGACTTATTCAAACTATACAGCGGGGCAATTCTCAGAATTGGAGATCCTACCAGGATTCATCATTGGCGGTCTCCTCAAATAGGAAGAAGACTCGAGGCGACGGAGAAAGGATTCAAAAGAATATCATGAACCGAGCGTGTGAGTAACAATGAGGTCTTGGAGAGGATGCAAACAAGGAGGAAGCTTATACTTAACATAAGACGCAGATAAAATTTCTGGGACACGTATTGAGAAAGGAGGGCCTGGAGAATCTGATGCTCACAGGTCGAATAGCGGGGAAAAGAGACAAGGGAAACCAACGCATGATATACCTGACTGGCTTAATCAAGTGGATGGCAGAACGTGGTCTGGAGGTGGCAAAGGGACGGAACTTATTGAGAGCTCAAATGGATGGGGTAAGTGGAGAGACGTGATTGCTTACGTCCTGAAAGGACACGGCACATAAAAAGAAAAAAATATACAAAAAATAGAAAGGGATGCAAGACAAGGATGTCTTCTCTTTTTAAGCATTTCCCCTAAAAGCTAGGCGGGAGTACCACTAGCACGCAAGGGGTTACAGTGAAAGTGAGCGTAAAGAGGGGTGTTTGAGGAAAGGATAAAGAAAGGGACGGGGATCAAGTTTAAGGCATCAGATGTCGATTGAGATTATATTTGAATATTTTAAAATTATAGCTATCAGAAGCAAGTAAGAGTCGGGAAGTGCGAGAGAAGAAACTGTTGGAGTAGATGAGGCGGTTACATTTAACTATTTTGACAGTGAAATGGTGGGACCGAAATGCCAACCTAGTAGCATACTTAAATTCATGCAGTTTGGTTCACCAGTGAAAATAGCTCATCAGAGCAGTTGCCATGGAAATATTTGTAGGAAAGACAGAGGGAAGCCAGGTTACGTCTGTGAGAAAGTGACTGGAGTCGAAATGACATACATTGCATACCCGCCTTTTGGATTTTGTCGATAACCTCGAGATAAACAGTGGGGGCACCATATATGGCAACAGAATTCAATGCTCACCGAACTTATTCAACCTATGCGGTGAAGCGATTCTAAGAGAATTAGAAATATTACCAGGAGTCATAATTGACGGCCACAATTTTAACATGCTGATGATAGTATTGGTAGCAGATAGTATTAACTGCTATAAGAAAGGATGCATGGTTAGCTAAAGAATGAGCCCAATATAAAAATTAGAAATCGGAGATACCAAAATCAAACTAGTGCAAAAATTTAAATATCTGGGAAGTATTTTAACAAAGGACGGAAATTGAAGGTGCACTGGGATAGCGAAATATGCCTTTTCTTGAACCAAACCTGTGAGCATCGACAAGGTTTTAGAGAAAATAGAAGCAAAAAGCACATTTACACATAACATCAAGAAAACAGTTGAAATTTCTAGGGAACATAACAAGAAAAGAGGGTTGGGATATCTTATGTTCCCCGTCACAGATTGAAAGCAAGAGGAAAACAACACATAACCTACTTAGTGAGTTTGAGTAAATGGATGGTGGGCAAGGTTTAGGAGAAATAATAAAAAGACAAAATTTATTAAGAGGCACAAAGGATAAGAAATTGTGGAGAGCCATGATCGCCTACGTTCTTAATGTGCATACAGAGAAAGGGGAGAAAAATAAGATGGGGACAATGTGGGGGGATAAATAGTTCCAGCGAGTTTAAAAAGGCAAACATAGACTCGTACTCCATTCAGTAAAGAGAACTAATAAATTTCTTTCTGTCGGCACGAAGGTCGATGTCATTTAATGTATATTGCTTCTAGAATGTGCAGATGCTTTGCTGACCAGCACCGTCGGCAAAGCATCTGCACATTCTAGAAAACCTCAAATCACCAAATGGAAAACCTCAAACCCATTTAAAGAAAAATTTATAACCCTTTGTCTTGTGTGTGTGTGTATATATATATATATATATATATATATATATATATATATATATATGCTATGATCAGGTATTATCAAAAAGTTTGAGAAAACACAGCGCGGAAATGTAGTGGGATCTTTTGTCGTTTCTATTACGAGTATTTTTTGTGGGATCGCTGTATATATGCCTGAGGGAATTACTTCGAATGAGACAGTTTAATTTATTTTTTGATAATTAAATTTCTCGAGTTTCCAAAAGTCGAATTATTTTTTTATTTTCTCAGATAAGAGCTTAATATCTGATACTAAATGCATGTATAGTGGGTCACGACCTACAACCTTAGGTAACATGCAACTTTCCTCTGACTCTAAGTGTTCATCACTTTCCAGCTTATTCTTGCCGTTTCTACGCGGCTTCCTTTCTATAACAGTTCCACTAGGCAATCAATGTCACTTTTCTTTATCCGTGTCTTTTATTGTCATTTATTGTACCAAGTGATTGTGACCTTCTTCAGCTTCCAAATTCTTGCGAGTTCAAAATTCAAATGGTTGGTTACTTTCTAGTCTTCCATTTTCTCTATACTTGCATCAACGGGACACGATTATAATAGCATTAACATTGAGAATTCTACTTTAAAATTGAGATTGCGTGACTCTGCAATTCGATAGGTCGCCCTGTGCCGCAAGAAACCACGCCTTTGTGTGATGAGACGGCAAACAAACGAAAAACGAAACGGATCCCTCTTGTAATATACCGTGAAGGATGTAAAAGACAATCTCCATTGCATGCGGTATTAGGATAAGGCGGGCAGAAGAAAGCTAGTGCAGTTATAGAGAAAACTGAAGTAAAGTGTACTGGATAATTTAGTTGGAGCCAGGAGTTTTGGCACATTATCATCTTTTCAGATCAGTTGTCACGATCAATTTCTAAACACCGTCTATGAAATTTTATCTGAACCACCTGCAGACCACTATTAAATATGGCTGATTTTTTAGCTATGGTGTGGGGAAATAATTTGGAGCATTAGTCACTGAAATATTTTGGGGTGCGTAGCAAATATCAATTCAGAAAAATATATTATTCTGATTGAGGGACTTGTCCAAATTATCCCCGATGATTACTTGGACAAAACACTACATATGAACTCCATATGCAGCAAAAATGTTCCCTTCACAGTAATTCAATCTTCAGTCGTCAATGTTATTAGAAATGTATGTTCAGATTTAACTGAAGAAAATTTGATCCGTGATCGGTTGGCTGGTTGGGTTTTATGGCATATCAACCACTGTAGGTCATTTAATGCCAAATTAGTTATTAAATATATAATACTAGTAAACGTATAGCTGGCAACATTATTTTTTTTTTTTTTTTTTTTTGACGTAGTTTATCGTAATACTTGAAGACTGTAATTTGTTTATTAAAAGTTAAGTTTTAACTTCATTCACATCTTAAATTTTCGGATTCTTCTCTTTTTGAAACGGTTCTTGAAATAATCTTAATCTCTACATAAATTCTCTGCAAAAATAGTATCATAGCTTACAAAAATTTGAATTTCATCATTCATTTTTCTAACCAATCAGAAATTAAATCTTTCTTGCAAGTCAGAAAAGAGAAAAATATTCCTGTCCAATCAGTGAGCAATCCATTTTAAAGTCTTTTTCGGTAATCATAAAAATATCAAAATTCATCTTAATTCTTTTTCGAAATTCTTTTTAAATTGAATTACTCACATACAACTCTATCACTTTCGATGTTTCTAAATTTCTACCAAAACGAATAGTCAATACAATACTGTCTGTCAGATATCTAAAGAATGTAATCATCATTTTAACTTGTCTGTTGCTTCAAACAAATGTCTTTTCCACACGCGATCTGCGCATCTCCTGCTGCTAAAATTTCTACACACGTGATCAGGATGGATGTTTGTCGAGCAATTACTACATTTTATTCTATTCACATCTTTGTACACATATTTTACATCTCTCAATTACGCCCACGATTCAGAGAACGTTTAATATTTGAACAATAATCAAAGTATATATTATTAAATTA